GTATTCAAACAGACTCAGGAACAGACATCCTTGGGTTTACTACCAAGTCCCCTCTTCAACAGCTAAAGCCTAGCAGGCACAGAATATCTTGGCTCAGTATCACTACTTAGATGAGTGAGGTCAAGCTTCACTATCAATTCCTAAAGTCTCCCCACTATGCTACTTCTGAGTCTTAGGTGGACGTAGAGACAACACGAATATTTTGGAAATATATTTTGGACAAAGAACACCAAAGGTTGGTGAAAGTAAAACAAAAGGAAAAAGAAAATAGAAATTTGAATATAACTGTGGCTGTACCTTGCTTGCTGATTGTTGCACACAGTGAGCTCACAGCTGGTTGTTTAGTATGATGAGCTTGCAGTATTACTGTCTCTTGAGAATGTTCCTCTCAGTCTTGAAACAGTTCTTGACACTGGTACTGACACTTATCACACCTTACTCACAACTTGATGTTAGATGGGCTGAAAAACACCCACTAAAAGTGCTACTGTTCGCTGCTTATTATTTCAAAAACTGGGGTCATTATATACACAATAAATGTGGCTGTGCTACTAGTGTATTCAAGAGTCATCAAGAGTCATAATGAGTCATATATGCAAGGTGAGTCATAGTGAGCCATAGTAAGTCATAGTAAGTATTTAGAGTGAGTCATAGTGAGTCATTGGGTATTTTGCTAAGTCATCCTGGCTTGTTGCTAGTCATGTGACCTGTCCAACCCCTGATGACAAATCCAGAAAAAGAGTAATAAATGTCACATGATATGAATCCTTTGTGTGTCTGTCTTTTATTTTCTTTGTGTGAAGGGTGAGAATGACGCGAGCCTAGTATTTAGGGGTTTACTAATGTTTTTCCAGGACAACATATGTGGGAAATATTTTTCACAGTCACCTGACATGTGTGAGAATCTTTCTGAGTCATCCTCATGGCTGACTAAGCAAAACTCATTGCAGAATTAAATGTGTTAAAATATTCAGGCTGCTGGCATACAGACTTGAAAAATAAAAGGAAAGGCGAAAAATATTCCCTTAGCCTCAGTCCAACTTCAGATAAAAAGGAAAAGGGTTTCATAGTGGTATTTCAGGGTATAAGACTTATGGGAGAGTATTGGTCGTCCATGCACTGAACCAGTTTGGTGCAGGTCAGTGGCGTATGACAGGGAGACCCCCTGTCCTGCCTACTATTTGATCTTGCAATCGAGCCTCTAGCATGTGCACTTCACAACTCCCCAGCATTAAGAGGGTATCAAGTCCCTAGAATAGAGGAAAGAATAATTGTCAATATGTACGCCGACGACACAACGGTATACCTCTCACAAAACAACAGCTACACCAACCTCGAAAAGATCCTGAAAGACTGGTGTAAAGCTTTGGGTGCTAAATTTAACTTGGACAAAACTGAAATTCTGCCAATAGGAACCAAAACTCACTGTACAAATGTAATCCAAAACAGAAAATTAAATGAACAAGACCCTCCATGGCACGAACAGATTAGAATAGCCCACAATGGTAACCCCATATGCTCCCTCAGGGCCTGGATAGGAAATGAGGTTGAAAATGCCACATCTTGGGAACCAATCCTGGAAAATATCAAGGAAAACCTCAACAGATGGGAATTAGGCCACCCCTCCCTAGACGGAAAGAAGCTGATCGTGCAGGTGGTCATAGGCAGTATGATGCAATTCCTTACCAAAGCGCAAGGAATGCCAAAACCTATTGAGAACGCCATAACCAAATTAATAAGAAACTTCATGTGGAAAGACCGAAAAACTCCACCAATAAGCAACAAGCGCCTAGAATGACCCATCTCACAAGGAGGTCTAGGACTTCTAAACATAAAAGCAAGAAATGAGGCCATAGACATAACTTGGGTGAAAACATACATAAACACACTGGCAAGCAGACCAACATGGGCCACCGTCACCAACACAATCGTAAACAGCCTAAAAACAGAAGGTTTGGCTGACATAACGGATCCAAGAACCTTCCTGACATCCTGGTCCCCACCTACAAAAGGAAAATGGGCAAATAGACTACCTAAAATGATAACAGATATGTTAAAAACGGCCAGAAGACATAATGTGACATTCGCACCTTTGAAAATTTCCCCCAACCTTCAAGATCAGCTCCCAGCCTGGCAACACATAGGCGCACCACCGAAGACATATCACAAAAACAAAGACATATGCCTACAAAAAACCCATAACGTTAAATCAGTGAGACACTTAAGAGACACCACCAACCGACTAACAAACCTCATGCAAATGCAATGAATGCTGCGAAGACCGACAAAAAGGCTGTAAGAACCCACATAAATGCGCTACCATAGCAGAAAACATACTAAACAACCTCCTCCCCAAATACAACCCAAACACCTCCCCAAGAAAAGACAACCTAACCTTAATGCACAGACGATTAGAGAAAAATGCACAAGCCAGAAAACAACCTCAAAATGAAATTACCTTCAATCCATCTGTCACGATCAAAAACGACCTATCTGATGGCTTCAGAATCTTTACTGACCCATCCAGACCTATCCACATACCAGCATACCGCCTGCGAGGACCACCCATCGGACAACAAGCCAATACTGGTGTCCTAACCATCTTCACTGACAGATCGTGCACAAACAATGGAAAACAGAATGCAAAATGTGGAGGAGGGATCTGGGTAGCAGAGCATCACCCACTGAACAGGGCCATAAGCATGCCAGGCACTCACCACTCCAACCAAATCGGAGAACTAATAGCAATACTTGTAGCAATACAGTCAGCAAATCCACTAACCCCCATCAAAATTGTAACTGACTCAAAGTATGTCATGGATGGCCTAAACGCACACCTAGAAGACTGGGAGGACAAAGGCTGGATTGAAATATCAAACGCCCCACTTTTCAGAGCGATAGTGTACCAATTACAACGCCAACCAACCCCAACGACCTTTGAATGAGTAAAAGGCCACAGTGGAGTGATGGGGAACAAACAAGCAGACATACTCGCCCAACAAGGTGCACTGAAACCAATTGCTGACGTAATCGACACCTACGTCCCTAGGAATTTTGACCTACAATGAGCAAAACTTTCAAAAATAACCCAACAATTAGCATACAAAGCGATAATAAACGAAACTCACCTAGACTACCATAGACCGACCCTAGCCCTGCTCAACGTAACAAGATTTGCAATAGAAAGAATAACCTTGACGCTAGAAACTGACGAGGCAATATGGAAGAGCTGTCGACACAAAGACATCTCTAAAAAAATCCAAATGTTCATCTATAAAATGCTCAATAATGCACACAGAATAGGAGACTTCTGGCTACAAATACCCACCTTCGAACATAGAGCCCAATGCCAAGTGTGTGGAGAAGAATCCAAAACCATGGAACACATTATAATGTAATGTAACAATCCCATGAGGGCGAAAATATGGCACCTAGCCAGTAGAATATGGCCAATAAAACACGGCCCCTAGCCAGAAACCATGATCGGACTGGTCCTAGGCTGTGGTGCCCTATCCTCCCCACAAAAACCTAAAGACTGAAATGTGGAGGATCCAAGACCATTGGCGATGACCAAAGGAGCCTCACGCCTCCTAAAAATCCTGATATCTGAATCAGCATACCTCGTCTGGACTCTACGATGTGAACGAGCAATCAAAGGACAAACTTACACCGACGAAAACATTACCAAATGATGGACGAATACCATCAACCAACACCTGCAACTCGATCATGCGGTAGCAAGCAGGATGCACCGGACACCAAAAGCCGTGATGCAAGTCCTAAACACCTGGGCTGACATAATCAAAATAAACAATAACAAAGATGCCCATAATGATTGGATAACAAACTTAGAGGTTTTAGTGGGTATTAAACTACCCAAGTCCTCGCAGACCGAGGTCACCAGGTAGTACACAGAGCCCCACACTACTCCCAGAAGTGGAGTGTGCATAAGTAGCATTTTTCTTTGGATGGTGCTGGTGCACCACTATAAGTGTTTTATGTAGGGCTAGACAGTGTCGGTTGCTTCATAATAAACTCGCTTCTCCAAAAAAAAAAAGAAGCACTGTCTATACATCGCACTCCACCATCGCAACTCAAAGCCAGGATTTCACTTCGCTCTCATGCTCTCAGCCAAGCAAGAAACTTGCAATATGTCCATACATGACTGCCACATACAGTACACTTGCTCATAATGTATAGTGACAGGAGCCACCCTTTCTCTATACACTATGAAAAATATACAAGATGGAATAGTTCCCATGGTCACAGTATCATTGCATGTATTCAATGAGTTGTTGGTATCTAGTCTACTTCATGTTCCAGAACATGTCTTCAACATCAGGGCAAGTAACAACTCGGGGCCACTTGCTCAAAAGAGCATTTGGGTGAGAATTGACTCATTGCTCAAATTGTTGACAATCCTTTAGTTTTCGAGATAGAGTTGCCTGTGTAAATTCAAGTGCATCCTGTGGCTTCGTCTTGAAGTACTGAACCACATGTTCTTGTGGTAAGTCTGGATGAGCATCAATGTATTGAAAGACGGCAATCCAGTCCTTTAGTGTAAGATTTTGACAGTGTATAGTTTTAGGAGGTTTTAGGTGCAGTGGCATCTTTCCCATGAGATGTCATTGGCTTCCAAGGCTTGTATGGGCCAGGCTTAGGACATGGCTGATGTTTTTTGGTGCTACACACCATTGAGTTAGTACTAGATGTTCATTAATGAAAAAAAATCATGCTACTTGCAGGATCTCTGAACACCCTGGGCCTTAGTCAATCAGGTGTCATACTGTATATTGAACCATCAAACACTATACATTATACATTATACAATTTTCTGGCCATTTCCCCACATACCACAATGGGAGCCACCCAAACCCAATACAATATGAAAAATATACATTATTACCATATACATTGTCAAGTCTACTGTATACCACACCATCAACACAATTCAATCAGGCGTCAAATTCAATCTCAATGGCATGCCAGAATGGCGGTAGGAACATAAAGCTGCCAATGGTCTTCAAGAAGGTATGGTCATAGGAAGGGTACTCATCACAAAGCTGCCTGTACACAAACTGTTGGTCACGCAGGCAGAGCGCATAAATGATATCCTTGCGCAAGTCCCGCCTGTGCAGAATGATGCACAGTGGAATTGCCTTTTGTGGCTGATCGAAGCATTAGCTGTGCTGCGAGCCAAAGGGGGCAACTTTAGCACAATTCCAGAAGTCACAGTCGGAGGCCAGATGGAGGGCAAAATAAAGGTGTTTGGCGACATGGCCAAGGATAGTGTTTTGAAGAGGCCAGGCTCGCTGCCTGACTGCGCTAGCAATCTGCCACACTTCTACATGAGAGTTCGTCAAAAATGAGGAGCGCCAGGTACAAGATACCGTTTATAAGAAGATGTATGCCCATTTGTATAGGTGCTTGTCATACAAAGATGACAATGTCAGCATGTGGATAGTGCACATTTAGTGACTTCGAGTTGACTCAATCTACCTGGCAAGGAGCAATGTATTATGGTTATTTCCCATTTTTACTTTCACCTTCTTTCTTTCTTTTCTTTTAAAAGAAAAAATGTTCCACCGGTACCTTTGTCACCTGCAACTTCTTGTTGACGGTCATGTAAGTAGTTGAATATTGATCCTGGTTGCACAACGACCTGCTCATACTCACTATGTCATAGGCACAAGTCAAGTCGTCGCAGCAATTGCAAGATGTTAAGCAAATTTGTGATTCCGCCATACATGCACTGACAGACATAGATGCTGCCAAACCAACAACAACAACGAGGAAAGAGAAATGCATTTTCTGTGCAAGGTAATATGGAATATTCTAAAGGGGATCTTGATTGATATCTCTGAGGATGAGGAAATACTGATGGATGACGACGAGCTTTATATCCTGCATATACTCATGGGCATGATTCTGTTCGATTTGGCAGAATTGTTATTTCTGTCATATGGTAGAAAATTTGGGAGAACCTGCAGGAGCGTGTTCAATTGATTACAACCATTTCATAACCTGCCGGTACTGGAATTATGTTGTGCTAGGGGTATCATGGTTCATAACATGTGAGTCCTACCGCATGAACTATTGATTTGAACCATTTCTAGATCCATCTCTTGGCAGCACTCTTGCAATCCCGAAATACAAATTGCTCCACTTGTGCTATTTGTGTGCTGCTAGTAGTCAAGAATTGTTTCATTTTGTGACATTGCGTCCACTGCCTCAATGTCCATGATACTACTTCTTTTCGGTGTTTGCCATCACTGATGCCTACACACTAGCTACTATAATTTTTGCATCACCTGTATGATCGTACAGTGACCCATACTGTACCGTCGAAGGTATCAAGGACACCATATGACATATGGTACGATACGGGTGGTAGCTGTACTTGAATCCCAACTGTCAAACAGGGATAGTGATTGGTGGTGAGCTAAGCAGTGCCCAGCACCATCCGGGCCTGGGCAGTAGTCTAATGGAAGGAGCCGATTATCGTCATAAAATATACCTCCCTCTGCACTAGCACCCCTGCATGCACCTTCACCTGATTGAGATCCTCAAAAATTCCTGGAGCATGTGGATATTCACCTGGTGTTCATAACCCAATATGAGCACTGCAAATGACTCTGCTATCGACCACTTGATGTGAGGATTCAATGTTTTAATTTCATAAAGTGATTTGGAAAAGCTAATTTCTTCTCACCGCATAAATTGGCACCTGCAGTGGCCCAAAGATCAAGGGAACAACTGCTGATCAGATAACACCATCTTTGTAACGCTGGCAAACCCACATAAGTACTCAGATGAACATATCAGAACTATGACGATACAGGTGTTTGACTTCACCTCCTAGGTGGTGAGATGATCAAGCGCCATGAATAGCACCGTACCTGTGCGCTCATTGCACTCAAGACTCACTGCAGTCGGCAAATCATTGTTGCATAAAATATCCATTACGTATACAGTATGTTACCAAGGATGACATCATCTTGGTGACTGACTGCTGTGTCAAGATGCAAGTATATATCTATCCTGTTGAAATTGGACATTGTGCTCAGTGCACCGCTGTTCAATGAATCAAACTATTCAAACGTTCATGCACACGAACAACCGAGCAGTCATTGCATTGTTGAAAAGGATAATGGGTGCAATTGCGCAGGTTCAATGACTCATAATAACATCTTTCTCGAGTTTGAATATAATACTTTGGAGATTGCGCTGCTGTCACATTCTGTTTTGTGCACTGTCCTGGATATAGAATAGCAATTCAAGATCATAGCTAGGAGGTATGGTATGCTCTGGCAAACAATCATCGATTCATCGCGCAGCAAATACAAAGGAGACCTCTGTAGATCCACACGCTTGAGCTCGCTGGCACACACATTATAGGCACAAATGACACATGCTCCTCTGCGTCGAACACTTGGATTCCTTGATAATTTCCAGCTTCTCTTCAAAAATTCGGATGATCGGAAACTTTGAGTCTTCGTGAACAACGGAATCAGGAGAGCGCGGATGACATTTCACGAGTCCGCATGTACAAGCGTTCAACCCCATCAGTATGAAAATGCTTGGCCAGCTGAGCGCGATGATCAATTGCAAAGGAACAGGCAAGAAAATCACACCTGGAAACACTCAAGTGCTTGAAAACAATGAGATTAGGTGCACAATAATGATTACAGACATGTACACACAACAAATCCTGCACATACACGAGGATCCCGGGCCACCGGTGCGACACGGACAAAATGAGCACGCGCAATTTCGAAGTATCGTTCCTAAGTAAAGGTCTAGAAATGATTAATGATGCGGCCGAGACTAGGGCCAGTGGCTGGCAAAAGATCACCCAACAGAAACCGATTTACAAATTACAAACGAACTCAAAATACGCACGTCGACACAACGGGGCTTCCATCATCAGGAAGCTCTTAATCTGAAACGATCAGAGCGACACGACGAGCCAAAGCATCGCCAACAGAATGAGACGATGAAGAACTAGTAGCCATAAGGCAAGGAAACAAAACTGTAACTGAGCAAAGGGAATGGAATAGACCTTTAGCAAGCAGATGACAACAAACAAAAAAGGCATAAAAGGTCCGGGATGATAGAGCCAACATACCGCAAAACCAGTCCCTTACAGGCTGCCATCATCATCAAAGCTGCTCGAAAAATATGTCACGGCCAGAGCACCAGGCCCCACCAGAAATTGTATATTTTATCTTCGTCGACTCATGGGCGATGTGAGACTGATTTTTGGACATCTATAGTATTATGGCGACGCTGAAGCCAAAAAATACACTCAAAAGTATGCTTATTCGCGTGTACATCCCCTTGCTCTTCTCAGTGTCATACAAGCACCCGTAATAAACAGATCCAGGCGGATATGACATACCGTGCTCTTGAGTTGCTCAATCTTCCTTCAGATGAACCTGCTTTTCTATTAGATATAGGATGCGGATCGGGGCTTTCAGGTGAGATTTTGGAGGAAGAAGGACACATCTGGGCAGGCGTAGATATCGCGCCAAGTATGCTCGGTGAGCTCCAAGGTTTTAGCATAGTAAGAACTACACGTGGTTGATCATAATCAGAGGTCGCACTAGAGAGGGATATTAACGGCGACCTTTTCTTGCAAGACATAGGTCAGGGATTTGGTTTCCGACCAGGAAGCTTCGATGGAGCGATAAGGTTTGTGACTGGACTTCTTTTTCGTGATGTTATCTTATAGTCTCTTAGTATATCTGTCTTGCAATGGCTTTTGAACGCTGAAACATCGCATCCAACGTCTTCACCCCCACACCGTCTTACTCGTTTCTTCACGACTCTACACTCTGCTCTTCGAAATCCCTCTCGAGCAGTCTTTCAATTTTACCCGACTTCCGACGACCAGATACAACTGATTACCTCGATAGCGCAGAAGGCTGGCTTTGGAGGCGGTGTCGTTGTAGATTACCCAAATTCCAAGAAAGCAAGGAAGGTGTTCCTCTGCTTGTTTGTTGGCGGAGGAGGCACACAGCAGCAAATGCCTAAGGGCATAGAGGGTGACGATGACGAGCAAGTAAGATTTGAGAGAAGAAGGGAAAAGGAAAGGAAAAGGGATGTAAGTGGGAAAAGAAAGAATATGAAAGACAAGGATTGGATTCTGAAGAAAAAAGAGGTAAGCCAGATGGAAACCGACTATGCCTGTTTGCTCAGTGACATCATTAGTTGTATCGCCAACGAGGAAAAGAAGGGGTACCAAGAGATTCAAAATTCACCGGCCGCAGGCGTAAGCCAATCTTCTAGTGGAATTTCTCACAGTGTTTCATGAACACCGGATCTTTGTGAAAGGATACCATACAAGTACCTACGTCTACTCATGTCCGTCTGTCTACGAATAGCTCGGGGAGGGTCTTGACCGCATCCTGAGCATTGTTCCGGATGAACAAGCCTTGGAGGGCAGCCATACTAATCTCCTTCCCATTAGACATCTCTTTGACAGTGAATTCTTCCACCTGCCGCCCCATGCGTTCTATAAGCTCCGGTCGGATAGACTCACTACCGCCGTAGAAACGTGTAAAGAGCGTGCGTGCCTGTATGGGTGACGCATTATCAACAAGCACGCTTAAATCAACACGCCCCGGTCTGATGAGTGCAGGATCCAAACTTCCAAAGTGATTTGTCGTCATGAAGATAATCCGCTCTTCTCCCGAGGCAACACCATCCAAAGCGTTCAAGAAGCCAGAGAATGTGACAGAGGACTGATATCTATAGCATGTGATGTTAGCCGTGCGTTCCGAGGCATCAGACTCATCAACTCACCCATCCTCGCTTGTTTGCATGCGTTTGTTAAATGCGGCATCCACGTCCTCGATGAGTATAATGCTACGCTCCGGGGCATTCGATAACAGGTGATTGAGTTTATCGTCGCCGAGTCCTCGTTCCGACAAATTGAGTAGACATATGTCATATGATAACGATCCTGCCAAAGCCTGAATATAGGAAGTCTTGCCTGAACCAGGAGGGCCGTGCAAAAGATATCCCCTTCGATATGGAATGCCCCGGTCCGCATACCATTGGCGTCGTTGCAGAAACGCGTTGACATCCTGTTCAACCTTTTCACTTACACCAGTATCCAGCACGACACTATGTAGTGGACGCTTTCGCCGAGGTTGACCAAATGGCTTCCATTCGATCCCCCATGCGGTTCTGATCACTAGTTTTCCTTCTTGACCGCGGAGAGCAAGGTCGCGTGCTTCTGCGAGGAGCTTCGAGAAAAGATGGCGATCTCTGGAGAGCGTTGTTACTGTCACAGTTTCCCATGGCGTGCCCGACATGAGTTGCATCGAGCGCGTCTCACGTTCTCTTTTCATCTTGATCGTAT